GAGAGAGAGAGAGAGAGAGAGAGAGAGAGAGAGAGAGAGAGAGTCATCTTAAACTCTTACCAGTTCCTTCCTGTAAGTGAAAGTGATGATTGAGACGACGATACAGCCGAGGATCATGGCACTGACCAGGAAGATGACCAGGGCCTGGACAGCGATGTTGATCTGGTACAGGCAGGGTCTGGAGTCCACGCAGCTGTCGCAGCCCCGGGCACAGCGCAGGCACTGGAACTGATTTTGAACAAGTTTTTAGAAAGAGTTTTTCTTCCTTCTTTTTTTGGGTATATTTTTTTAAGTAATTGTTTTTCGGCGCTCGCAGCTGCATTAGGTCAAATCAGCGAGAAGGACACATTAAATATTTTTAGTTTGGTAGGTAAGAACATTACGGCCCTTGTAACTAACGCAATTAGGTTATATTAGTACCGAATATTAGAGGTGCTTCGAAAGAGTAACAAACACAAGAAAAGGAGGAGAGGTAAAGACGATAGAGTGGCGTAGGAGGCCTAGTGGTTAGGCCAACGGACTCGTAGTCGTGAGATTGCAGGTTCGAGGGTTCGAGCCTCAGCTCGGACCGATTTGTGTCCTTGGGAAAGGCACTTTACAAGAATTTCCCACTTGGCTCTGTCATTTCGGAGATGGACGCTAAACTCGGAGGTCCCGCTTCTTAAATAACCTAACAGTGTTGATGGGGGCATTAAACCTACACCAGTTTCAAAGACGATAGATGTTTGATAGGAAAGATAGAGCAAACCACACCAGAACACAAGCCAACCACCCACCTGGAACTGATAGACAGCAACATGTTTTACACACTATTGACACAATTTTGATGATACGCTTCCCTAGAATTACAAAGGTCTATTTGCCCAGTTCCTAGTTTTGAGAAATCTAACTTTTAAAAAATGTCTTTTTTAGAACATGTCAAGCTTTTTCGAATGCAATTCTTAGAATATCTTATTATCTACTCCGAATAATCTTACGATTTTGATTGAGCCGATAGTACGTTTGGTTTCTGACCTCATGGTCTTAGTAACTTGAAAGAGCCGAAATTGTTAGATATAATTTTTTAATTCTAAGGTGTCAAACAGACAGGCAAATTCACTTCCGGCTCATCTTGACACGTCTCATGAGCACTTGAACTGTTTAAAGCTAAATGTATTACGATACAATTAACAAATACAACTTGGATAATTTAGTGTGTGGATTGTTTCCATCTTGCATATCAAGACACATTCACGTTGTGAGGGATACATCCCGGTAGAAGATGAATAATACTTCTATAAAAGGATTGAAACTCACATCTTTTGATTGCCACGGCGAAGAATCTAACCATAACATCCCAGAAATTGTGCACAAGAATCATCTGAATCGAACTTAAGTCTTTAATTTGCAGGCCGAAATGTCTAACCATTACACCACAAGTGCCAGTGTTCAGGAACTCATGAGAGGCAGGGAAACAAATCAATGAATGAAATGTTGACACAACTTGAAGGGTTTTGTTGCAGTGTAACGGCGAAATAACTGATGTAGGCTCTTCATCGTCACGGTTACTCCAGAAACACTCAAATCAGCGTATGTGGGTTTCCAAATAAACCCCATTATTCGAATAAAACCGTCAAGTGGCACAGAATAGTTTTGTGATGTTGCGTAATTTCATTTTTTCTTTCTAGTTTTTTTAACGGAAAAAAATCACAAGTGCACAAAGAAAAGTCAAGATTTTTATTTTGGCGCTATCACTTCCTTTGATATTCTCGAAATTAAAAATTTTACTTAGAGACATTTGTGCGCTGACGTTATGTACAATTTCCTGAGTAAATAGCAAAGCTTCTGGGTTTCGGGGTACCTTAGTGGCTTCAGTGGCCGACTATGTCGCTCTAACGTAAGGATGTGTCTACCAAGTTGTTCCCTATTCAGAAAGATTTTTTTTTTACTGTGCCCTTTATGAACGATTCAGCTTTCAACACACGAGTAAACAGGTTACCTAGAGATGAAACCACCAAAATAAACTGTGCTCTCTACTAGCTAACCAACCAACTGACCTATCAACCGAGCAGCTACCCAATCAATATACCTCAGCCAGCCAAATTTATTTATCATGATCATTAAGTTCTCTCTCTCTCTCTCTCTCTCTCTCTCTCTCTCTCTCTCTCTCTCTCTCT